CTGACACACCTCTAACGGGAGGTGCCCAGGAGGCATCCTGATCAAATGGCCGAACCACCTCAACTGACCCCTTTTGACGTGAAGGAGCAGCAGCTCTACTCTGGGACCCTCCAGATGTCCAAGCTCCTTACCCTATCTCTAAGGCTGAGCCCAGACACCCTATGGAGGAAACTCATTTTGGCCGCTTGTATTGGCAATCTCATTCTTTCGGTCACTACCAAGAGCTCATGACCATAGGAGCTGGTTGGGATGTAGATGGACCAGTAAATCGAAAGCTTTGCCCTCCAGCTCAGCTCCCTCTTCACCCCGATGGACCGGCGCAGCGTCCACATGACTGCAGAAGCCGCACCAAACCGCTGATCCATCTCGCGCTCCATTATAACCTCAGTTGTGAACAAGACCCTGAGATACTTGAACTCCCTCACTTGGGTGATTTTATTCACAAATTATGATCAACAAGATAATCTCCAAAAGAGGACATGTTAGCATAGTAGTAGTATTAGCAATTTACTTCTGGCTGGCTTCTCTTAACTACATATCTTCCCAGCATTAATTAAGAGCCCTGTAGGAAAAAAAACATTTAAAATCTGATGATAGAAGGCTTAAAAATGTGGACTGATTTCCAGATTTCTGGACCTCATGTTGTTCTCTTTAACATAGAAGCTTACAAGATAACCGCAACCAATCATCCCCTTCTCCCTCCACTGTCAGGTGTGCTACCATCGCCCACATCAGAGCGGGTAAAACCAACACATACCACTGTGATGGCGGCAGCATGGAGGGTCGCTTTGTGAATGTGATTATCCCTGGAGAGGGCAAGACTCTCACCCTGTGTGAAGTGGAGGTGTATGCTGCCCCAAAAGGTACAACTACGACTGACTGGCTTGGAGTTATCATAACACAGCAGTCTGATATTGATTCATCTCTGTGTTTTCTTTTTTTTCACACTTAAGTGGAACCTCTACGAAATGTGGCCTTGAGGAAACCAACAAGACAATCAACAACTGCTTATGTCTATGGGGGGTTGTCCTCTCAAGCTGTCAGTGGGTGTAGAGGTGGAATAGTTGACCACTGCTGTAGCCAGACTTTGGAACAGTATGAACCCTGGTGGAGAGTAGACTTGTTAGCTGTGCACAAGGTCAGTGCCATCACCATCATCAACAGGCGAGACTGTTGTACTGACAAACTTAGGGGGGCACAGATCCGCATTGGGAACACACCGTCAACCTATGGCTTCATTAACCCCAGGTGAGGCATAATATCTTCAAGTGGAAAGTAAATAATTACTAAGTATGTGTTTCTTGTGGTTTAACTGCACAATGCAAACCACTGCCATTTACATTTTAGAAAAACTGTCTCAATGCTGTAATTACACCACTGGCAAATACAATTAGAGTAACCTCTTATGAATAAAACTGGCACCCATTATGTTTCTCTCTCCCCATCAGATGTGGTACTATCTCATCAACGGATGATACGTCAATGTACACCTTTGACTGCGCAGGCATGAAAGGTCGCTACGTCAAAGTGATTATTCCAGGAGATTCTAAGGTGCTGACACTGTGTGAAGTGGAAGTGTTCGCTTCGGCAGGTACGGTCCTTTATGTCTAGTCAATGGAAATCAAACAAAAAATAGCTGACTAGCTATCAAATATCCCTGGTGGAATGTAAGTGATACCCAGCAGGATATAAAGTACATAAACTTAGCCCCACCTTTACCAATGATTTACACATTATTGCATCAATAATGTAACTCTGTGATATAAATGAATCCGAAATGGGCCATTCTGCATGATGAGTACTTTTACCTTTGGTACCTTAAGCCAGGTCCACCCACAGAAATGGTTGGAGGCTCCCCAGATCTGCTCTACTTATATCAATGCATGCCGAGCACTCTGTCTCCTAGTTTAGATCAGCAATTTTCTCAGGTCTTGTGGCCATGGGCGGATTATGTGACAATGGGCCCCTGGGCACAGATATGCAAATGGACCAATCCTGCATAGGAGCACGACACATGGACTTTGTGGTCTTGTGCATCTTTTTGTAGTTTTCAGTCTCACTGTAGTCGTTATGTGTCTCTTTGGCGTAATTTTGAATCTGTTTTGATTTGGGGAAAACTGCATTTTCCTACTATGCACTGTGGGCGGGGAACAATCTCCAAAAAGATCTAAATTTAGAAACACTTATATCCACTGATGAATTTAAGAGAATCATAAAGAATGTGGTGATAGAGCCACAACAGCTCTGTTTCCACCGAGCAGTACAGTACTGTTCAGTTCAGTTCGGTACACTTTTTTCTGTTTCCACTGTGAAAAGATGTGGATGGTACCAATGGAACCGTTCTGTACCGTCCCCATTTTTGGTCCCCCCTCTCTTGCAGCAGCTGGAGTCTGAGAAAAAAATAACTTAATTCACTGAGCCGACTGCCGGCAACTTTAAAGGTGGAACATTAACTTGTAATGTTACTCCATGCATGAGTTGATGACATGAATCAATCAACACACCTTAAATTTCACTGAGACAACTTTAACTACTTTTTATATGACATACACTTTTAGTAATGAGTGGATCTTCAAGCGTTTATATATATTAATTTCAACCAGGTTATGTGAATTGCATATATTTTAATCCTCTCTCAGAGAAAAAAAATGCGTTGTGGAGTGTAGTTCCTGTTGAGCGTAGTTCCTGTGGGCTACGGCAACACTACAGGCCCGTTTCCACTGGGGGGCAGGAACTACTACAGGAACGTCCTCTCGCTCGGCCCTCTCAACCGCCATGTCTCCACTGAGAGAGCGGAGTAGGAGGAAGGTTCCTGTAAAGTTACTGGGCTCTGTATGTGACGCAATCGTTGCGCAACCATTTTGACCGGGGCGACGTAGGGGCGTAGGGACGCCGTTAGCCGTCAGTGGTGTCTGTAGTAACTCCAGTCACGGTCCGTGAAAAAAATATTTTTTCCAGCAGATGTCTTAGTTACAACATGATTGAGCTAACTGGAGTAGTTTCATGTCGTATCCGACAACGGGAGGCTTTTAACAGATGACGTCCTGATGTTAGCTTTGCTGCTGCTGTTAGCTGTCCCTGTCAGCTGATGCTTTCTAGACATTGTGATTTCCCATAACTGAATAAATACCACACATAGCAACACAAAACTGCTTTGCTAGCTTAATCATGTTGTAACTAAGATATCCGCTGGAAATTGTTTTTTTTTTCACGGACCGTTTATTGAGTTATTACAGACACCACTAACAGCTAACGGTTAGCCCAGCTAATCTACGATAACCATGTTGTTATTTACAAAACGTCACATCCCGCCTTGAGTATATTCAATCAGCACCAAGTAATCCCCAAGCCCCAGCCAGGAGTTTCTCGGGGCCGTTCTGAGTACCTACTCTGAGGCAGGGACTTGTTTAGCCCCTGTAAAAGTTCCGGAACTCTGTCCTTCGGGGGTGGTTCCTGCGGTGGAGACACACCAATGACCCAGGCCCCATAAAATTAGGCCTTAAGCTGCTGAGCTTGCCTGAGAAGGACTAAATGCACAAACCCATAGTGAAAGACTCTCACTGCTGCCTGTTCTGTTTTGTTCTGAAAATGTCGAGGTGCAGACTGATAAAGGAAATACAGTGAGTGCTGGAAGGAGCAGTGAGTGACAACAACCTCGCCCACATTTAAGGGTACTGTTTGCAGTGGAAACCCTAGGGTCTAGGTACCATGTCTGAAGGGTTACTTTTGGTTCCAAAGGTACCATACTGAAAGTGTTTGGTGGAGAGGGGGCTTATGTTTGAATAGTTGTTGTTTTAGTGTGGATTCTTTTTTATTATATGCTGTATTTGTTGCATTTAAATGTGTTTTGACTGGCTACTACCTTTGCCCATATGGGGAACCCTGCTTTAAGTATATTTTGATGCTTTTATTTGAGTAATATTTAAAATGCAGGGCTTTTACTTGTAAATTGTAAAAGAGAAGAGTATTTACACTGTAGTATTGCTGCTTCTACTTAAGTAAAATGTCTGAATACTCCTTTCATCAGTGGGAAATGCTGTATTATGTCTGAAGTGGTATTGGTATTAATATTGTTGACTTCTGAAGATAACTGTACTGTATGCACATGTTATTAGGAACTGGTCCAGATCCGGTCGAGTAGGCAAAGCAGACTGCAGTGTAAACACTCCGGGCATATACACATCAGTAATTTACTTCCACTGCAAGTGTTTGTTTTTGTCCCTGACAGGCTCACATTATTATTATAAGAGTCTGACAACATTATGGAAAGGATTCCGACAGTTTTGTTAAAGAGTAAGATTCTTTTTGTTTAACTCGAAATCGCCATCACCAGACTCCATTTAAATAAACAGAGATTTTAGCATGCATAGAGACTGCATGTTTTCACATCTAACTGGGTGAGTTAAGGGTTAATTTCAACCAAACCAGAACCTTATTGTTGGAAAAATGGAAAGACAAACCAAGATGACTTTTGTGAGTTTTATTTTGTTTCTGTCGACTCTGGATGACGTGTGCTTTACAATAATAAAACTACTGTTTATTTAAATGGAGTCTGGTGGGTTTGGCAACAACAATTTTCAAGGCTGTTTCTGGTTAAACAAAAAGGATCTTACATTTTAACAAAGAGTAAGACATTGCATTAACATTGCTTTTACTTCTTTGCACAAAACAACATGTCAGTATAATCGCTTGATAAGATGTGGACTGATTCCAGTTGCTCTTTGGCAACAAGGCTAGGTGCCGACTCTGTGGCTTCAGCGTTAGCTTTGCATTTTGGAACCAAAAGTCCCCGGGCAACTCCAAGTTCAAGACAAGCCTGTTTAAAAAAATGTATCAAACATGAACCGGGCCAACTGAAACCTAACAACATTTTTTTCCCCCTCCACTGCCAAAAGTTATCACGCCCTCTCCTCCTCTTCCTCCGCCTCCACCCCCTCCGGCTGTGAGCTTGCTGCTGAGCGGCAGGAACGTGACAGTGGTGGGAGAGAGGCTGTGTTGGGCCGATGCTCTGTTCTTCTGCAGACGTCATCACTGGGACCTGCTTAGCCTTCACAGCCAGGAAGAGCAGAGCGAGGTGGAGCAGCTGCTGAGCCGCAGTCCTTTCCCTCTCACAGACTATGTTTGGCTTGGGTTGCGCAGGTACTCTTCACTGACACTGTCTAACACATGCACAACTCAACATGAAATAATATGAATTAGCTGGTGTGGTTTTACTTTTACATTTTGGCAGCATGGTGGTGCAGTGGTTAGCATTGTCACCTCACTGCAAGAGGGTTCCTGGTTCAAACTTAGGGTGGTGGGTTCGAGCTCAGGGTGGGGGATCCCTTTCTGTGCAGGATTGTGCATGTTCTCCCTGTGTCAACGTGGGTTTTCTCCGGGTACTCCAGTTTCCTCCCACAGTCCAAAGACATGCAGGTTAATTGATGACTCTAAATTGTCCGTAGGTGTGAATGTGAGTGTGAATGGTTGTCTGTCTCTATGTGTCAGCCATGTGATAGTCTGGTGACCTGTCCAGGGTGCACCCTGCCTCTCACCCAATGCTAGCTGGGATAGGCTCCAGCCGCCCCACGACCCCAAACAGGATAAGTGGTTAGGGACAATTAATGAATGAATGGCGTGGTTTTACTTTTACATGATGACTTCTTTGCTTATCTTCTTAAAAGCTGCAGCATAAAAATATCACTCCAAAGCCCAATGATTAAAAGGATTGTAATATTTAACCCCCATAAAGGCCTCGTGTTTCCATGTTCGTGTTTTGTATACTACACCCATTCTTGAGAACTGAGTCAAATCATGTCCTACCAAAAGAAAGCCTTGGAATCATAACTTATTAACACACTAATTTAATTTCTGGGGTGAAACATTATTTTTAAAGGATTTATTTCTATGAAATAAATATGATTTCTAAAAACATTAATATCTGCTTTTAATTTTGCCTTCTAAACTTGCCCTGTGCCAGAATTCACCCTTGTCCTAGACAAGAATTCACAACTTCAATTGACTAGAAACTGTGTTAAAAACCTTCTAAATCTGAAACTAATACTTTATATTGATAACACATTGGTGTATAAATGCACTGCCATAACAATCGTTGTATTACTTTTTTGTGTGTGAAAATGTTGGCCTTTTAAAGATACTAGTCCATACCCATTGGTAGCTTTGTCACCTTCTACCTATGCCAATCCTCAATGCCTATGTGCAGTTTCACATAGATTGACCACGTCAGTGAGTAGAAAAACATGGGACAGACAGAATGACTGACTGATAGAATGACACACTGACAGTTTCTGAGATTATGTACAGCATACCATACCATGACTTAGTCATACCAAAAATTAGAAAACAACAACAACATTGGTCCACAGGGGGAGCCACAGCGATCGGTCGCATTTTAGCCATTTCTAAGCATTTTTCTATTTGTTATAGCGCCACCCAGTTGCCAATTAGAGTTAAATTTCTCCAGTCACCTTGAGGCGTCCTGTTCTACATATCTACCAAGTTTGGGGTCAATAATGGAGGGTTCCCCTCAGATTATGTGTGGTCATATGCCTACAAAGTTGCGTGGTGATGGGTGAAACCATTGAGATGTTATACACCTTTATGTGATGAGCCACGCCCTCCACAATATTCATTGCCTTATAGAAGCTCAGTTTTAGTAAGTTTTCCAACTTTTGCCAAGAGGGAACTTTAGATATTGGTCCCTAGATTATGTTCACCAAGTTTCATGCAGATCGGTCAAACTTCCTAGGAAGAGATCGATTTTAACTGTTTTTCAAAAAATTCAAAAATCGGAAAATCTATATAAGCGGAAGTTATGGGTTCTTGAGACAAATGTGTTCCTCATGAGGAGAGGCATCTCTGTGCAAAGTTTCATGTCTCTACGACATACGGGGCATGAGATATGCCCATTCAAAGTTTGCAATTTTAATCGGTTGCTTTAGCGCCCCCCTTTGGCCAATTGATGTAATATTGCTTCATTCTCATCCTCTCATGACCCTCTACCACTGTGCCAAATTTCACATGGATTGACCAAGACAGTGAGGAGAAAAATGTGGAACAGACACACAGACACACACACAGACAGAGTTTTCGTCATTTAATAGTAAGATGTCCTTGAGTTTTTTCAACTCCGTCAGATTTCTAAAAAAAACATAATTTCATCATGCATTAAAGGAGTTAGCTCTATCCTAAGTGAGACCTCCTGTCTCACTTCCTAGTTTCCAAAAAGGCAGGAATGCTGCTCAAGTACTGCTCAGCTTCCTATTTTATGATAAATCAATTAAATAATATTGCTATCGGGTGTGTCTCAACCATAGCAGGTCCACACCGTAGTGTTTCTAAATCCACACTAAATGAGAATTATGGTTTAAATATTAGTATTTTGATTCGCATTAAGAGAACTCTTACCAACTGTGAAAAATAAAATGGCTGGTTCTAATTAATAATAATTATATTTTAATTAATAAAAATAAAATAACTAGCTCTTGGCCGGGCACGCCATCTTGCTCAAACAGAAGGGGGCTGCCCCGCCCACATATGGCCAGTGGCTTCGAGACGTAATATCCTGCCTAAAATTAGAGATGTGATGTGTGTCGCCCAGCCCTGGCTTTAAAAAATAAAAATATTTTGAAATAAAAAAGGAAAATTAAAACGGGTAGTCACTACGACTGCAGAAAAATTCAATAAATATAACATGTTGTGAACTCTGTAAGAGGTCAACCCTGTCAGATCTTAACTTTGACATCCATTATGTATGCTATTCAAGAGAAAAAAATAAATCACTGGGATGTTGGTCAGTTAAAAGGTTTAATAGTCAAGACTTTGATCTTTTAACATATAGGCTACTTCCCTGCCTTAATGAAGAGAAAAAAATAATAAGGGTTTGTCCTGGGATAGACTGAGAGGGCAGGTGCCCTACCCTGGTTTCTTTGAGGATTTGAATTCTGCAAATTAAGACACACTCAGACACAGGTCTTTGAGTCAAATACTGTGTGTCCTTATATTTGCTCCTTTGCATTGCTGCCATTCCAAGAAAGATGAGCATGAATGCCTCCTCACTGCCACACCCTGTGACAAGCCTATTGTAACATTAGAACTGAAGCAAGCATTTGACTTGTCAACTGACAGAAACTCACTCAGCCATAATTTGTTTCAGTTCAGTCACGCTCAAATATTACCTGGTTCTGGCTTTTTAAGTGTGAGGATTTGCTGCTTCATTTTTTGTGTTTTAAATGAAGTGCCTTGAACCTGCAGTCTTTCTAGTGGACAGCAGGGGGCGACTCCACTGGTTGCAAAAAGATGCAATGGCAATTTTCAAGTCTTCCTCGATACATTTTGTAAATTATGTTCCCATTTAGAGTAAAACAGACAATGAAGCAGGGTATATTTTAGGGTGTGGCTACCTCATGATTGACAAGTTGTAACAATGGTGGTGACCTTGGGTTCTCAGTCAGATCCACCCCTCACTCCTCCACAGCTCCACCTTCTCGTCCAAATATGGTCACTTCTAGTGTCAAAAAGCAAGATGATAACAGCCGAAATGCCAAACTCAAGGCCTTAAAACGGTAGTCCATAAGCTAATGGGTGACATCATGGTGGCTACATCCACTTTCATACAGTTTATGGTTCAGACTGTTAGTTGGACAAACAAATCATTTGGAGCTGTCACCCTGAATTTTCAAAAACTTTGTGTCGAACATGTTTTTGACATTGCAGTGACTAAGCGAATAATTCAGAATAATTGAAATAATTATTAGTTATAGCCCTACTTTATATCATAAAGATAAAGTTGGATCTATGTGTAAATGTTTTTAAGAAATTACAATATTTGTGGACCTTGACACCTGTTGCACTGGGGGGATTACAAAGTACAACCACAAACAACTGTGCAGTACAGTAACAGCAACATTTTGTCAAATCTGTTAATCAATCTGTTTGGCAGATACCTAATGGGCGACAGGTGGTTCTGGATGTCTGGCGATTCCATGAAATTCACCAAATGGTGGCGAGATTCTGCTCCTAGCCATTACTCCAGCCCCTGTGGAGGTATGGCCAGAGGAGAGCTCTTCCTGTGGGAGGACCAGCCTTGTGGGAAGCACCTCAATTTCATTTGCCAGTCAGGTAGGGGTTACACCTCACATCCTGCACATGTGTACATATTGGACTTCACCACAATACCCTCATGAGCTCTTTCTGTCCCGTAGGTGCTGAGAGCGGAACACAACGAGTGTATTTCTACAGCACAAGGAAAGCCGCAGATCCTTAGTTAGGGTTAATAATATTCAAGGCATTCTCACTCCCAACTTGTCATATACGGCAGCTCAGTCAGGAGCACTTTAGTATTTCCATTTGTAGTTTAACATTTGGCAGTATGGCTGTGTTCTGGGGCCTCTTTGCTTTTTCTAGGCCTATGCAGAAAGCCTCTTCCACGCACCTACGTGGTAAGCCTAAGACAGGGAGAGCACACCTCTCTGCCCTTCCATGTGCCTAAGTGGAAAGCTTAAGGCCGAGAGAGCACACCTCTCTGCCCTTCCACCCTTCCTAAGGGCCACTGTCCAAGCAGCTGTATTTAAGGAGCTGGGAGTGAGAACATGTTGTACTATTAGAATCTGTATTTTTAAGTTAGCTTGCAAATAGCGACTATAAACTGCCTGCGCTCCTTGTATGTTATCAACTAGTGTTTGAGTGGCACTTCAACACGTTATGTTTCTGCACAAAACATGGATCAGAACCCAAAGTCTCGACCACCTGGATGCCTTTATTTTCATGCTCTTGATATGTGGGTTAAAGTAACTGTAATCTCATATTACCAGTTATTGCATTTGTGCTGTGGTGAAGCTTGTGTGGTCTCTGTGAACTATACCGCCATGTACTGAGTTGCAATCACAGTGATGAATGACTGATTTAAAGGGTTTTTCAACCTGGATCCTATTTTCCTAAGTTTTTGTGTCTAAGGGACCAATGGTAACAAAATTTTGTGAAGTTGGTCCAGTATTTACAAGCTGAAATGTAACCACTTGGGGCATATGCACCATCAATTGATGTCCACTAAAAGTGCTTGTTTTTGCGACTGACGGGCTCCAGTTATTTTTTAGTGTCCGACAACATTATAGGATCCCTATAGGGGTCGACCTGTTTATTAAAAAGTAAGATCCATTTTATTTGACCAGAAAGAGCCCTGAAATCGCCATCGCCAAACCCACCAGACTCCAAATAAAAAAGCAGTAATTTTATCATCGTAAAACACACTTCATTTAAAGCTGACAGAAACCAAATAAAACTCACAACAGTCATCTTGCCTCGTCTTTCCACTTTTCTAACAATTGCCAACTGTGGTTTGGTTGAAATAAACTCTTAATCCATCCGGTTAGATATGAAAACATGCATGTTCTATACTCGCTAAAATTGCTGTTTTTTTAAATGGAGTCTGGTGTGTTTGGGTATACTGATTTCAAGGCTGTTTCTGGTCTATTTCTGTAGGGATCCTTTCCATAATATTGCCAGACACTTACAGTAACAATCTGAGCCTGCCATTGGCAAAAACACACACCTTTAGTGGACATAAATTGATGGTATGCATATGCCACAGTGGATACACTGCAGTCTGTTTCACTGCTGCCAGCTGCAGCGCTCTCACTCAGTCCTGAACCAATTGTTTACCCCATTCATCACTCAGACACGAAACACTTCAGCAACCCTAATTATGATAATAATTGACACTCATTCCAATATCAACATAGAACCTGTTTTACTACATATTATCTCCCTTAATATGTTTTGTGTACGATATGTTTGATTCCTCAGCAAGAGGTGCAGTGCACAAAGTTGTAAAGCTTCTTGGCTGAACATTTTATCATTGTGTATCACTACAGCTGGTTTTAAAGTGTGTGAAAGACCTTGGAGATGTGAAATGCAGAGCTGAACCATTAATAGCTCACTACATCAAACGTCTTTTAATTGTCTGACTGACCTTGAGGTAGGAGAGAATTGAGTCGGTGTAAATAAAGCCGAAATGACTGTTAAACTGTGTAAAGTTCATTTGAATATAGAAATAAACATCTGCCAAACAGTTACGGCATCAGGAATGTTAAAGATGTGAGAGATTAGGATCTACCTGCTCAAGTTGTGCGTCACTGGCGTCCCTTTACCCAGTGTACTGTTTCAGTTACACCTATATTAACATAGTGTGACAGAGCATTTTAAAAGGCACATTAAACAGAAAACATTAAACCCACAGCCAGGACACATCTCACAGTGCCTTACCTTAGGTGTGGCACAATCCTGTGGGTTTAAGGGAGTGTGGATAACAAGTGTAATCAAAACAGCATCAAGGAGTGTGTAAATAAACTGAGCAGCAGTTTGAACAAACACACCCAGACGCGGGGAATAACCTGGTTCTTCTGGTCCTTCTTGCCACGTTTCTTGGCCAGGTGTGTGTTGAGTCAGTGCTTTTACCCAGGATGCAAAACCTATCAAATGATGCAACAGTCAGTGAGATTCGATAAAAACTGCAAAACTGAGAAACTGCTCTGTTTTTTATGTAACTGAACCAAGTAGCGACAAACACTGGGCTTCATGCAGCAACATTCTCTTAAAATTCCTCTTATATTTTCTCTCAATTTTCAGTTCAGAGTAAAAACAAGCGAAGTCAACAACAAACGTTCTTAACCATCCAAACCTGCTCTTGCCAAGGCGTGCTGAATGACAAATCTCACTTGATTCTAAGTAACCTGTCAGCATAGCAAACCTACTAAACTCTATATAAGGGCAGGTGTTGTATCCAAATACTCTGGCACATACCCAAGAACTGGAGAGGTGCCACCAAAAAAGGCTGCAAGAAGTAGATGCTAAATAAACTTAAACAAAGTATTTTCCAGAGTGGCAGAAAGATGTTACAGGAACATTAAAAGCCCCGTGATGGCAAAACATTTGCAGTGTCAGCAGCAAGCGTGGAGGAAGTATTCAGATCCTAATGAGAAACACTAAAGCGGGATTTAAACTTGTGCGGCAGACCCCACGCCGTAGCCTACACGTGTCCTACACCATTGTGAGCATTTATACTTGTGCTTTGGTGCATCTGTCGCTCTGCAGTTACACCTCCAAAACACTAGTTGGTGGTGGAGGTTTCTGTGAAGTGCTGTAAAGTTTAGTTGATTCAAAACACACATTAAACACACATTAAACATGACTAGAGACAATTCCAAACTTTGAAAAATATCACTATAACTCGCAGCATTCACAGACACACTTGCCTTTATCTGGACACATTTTCCCCACAAATATAACATGCTAATGTTTTTAGCCCAAGCATATGGCATTTTACATTGTATAGATTAGCCTAGCAGCTAGAGGACTTTTCCTCTACTCAAATGAAGCCAAGGACAACAGCAACATTTAACAAAGGTAACGTTACAAAATATGACTCCATTACAACTCACAAGGTTCACTGACAAAACAACTGTCTTATACTAAACACGCTTTCAAAACAAATATAACATGCTAACATTATTAGCACAAGCCTATGGCATTTTACATTGTATAAATTGGCCTAGCAACAAGCAGAAATTTCCTCTGCTCATATGAAGCCAGGATAAATCACACACAAGACTTAAAATGCTATTTTTGTGGAGGCTTTATTGTCTTCACAATTTATTGTTACTTGTCTGTGAAATTAAAGTAAATTAAAGTTTTGTTTCCACTGAAGGAAATGGTTTCAGCTTACAGAAAAAGACAGGAGGTCTGTGTCACCACAACGTGTAGTTACATTTCTGGGGAGGTGCACATCAGGCTAACGTATAGGGTACGGCGTAGGCTCTGCGTCGCCTTATTGTATTGTCACCTGATAGTTCAGATTCAGGAACTAGTGAGGAAGACAAAGGTCGGTGACGGCAGCAGTAAAATTTGAGTTGCAGCTCTCATGAGGAGGCAGAGGAGGGAACAGACCAGGGTGAGTGAGGGAAGATGTTTAGGTTGATGCTTAGGTGGTTTCACTGTACATACTGTACTGTGTGGGTGTGTCTGCAACAATACCTGATGTATTGTATAGTGATGCAGGTTACTATATGAGAGGAGGGAAGGAACCACACCTTTATCTCTCTCTCTTTTTCTAACACACACACACACACACACACACACACACACACACACACACACACACAGGAGATAGTGTAAAATTACAGAGAAATTGAGAGGATGTTACTAATGTATGGCACTGGATTTTTTTTAGAGGTTCAAAACATTCTGCATGTGAATAACTATTGTTCAGTTGGTTTTTTTAACATTATTAAAACTGTGTGCAAAACATGAAACAAAGAAGTGAATTAATTGGTTGGAACATGACATAATTAATAAAAGGAGGGGTGGGGGTTACATTTATGCCCTAAATGGGCAACGCACCTCGGGGCCCCTCGGGAGATACAGTTGGTAATTTGGAAAAATAAAATACAAGTCATATTTTAAACAAAAAAAAAAACAAAAAACATACATTAGAAAAAATTAATGATTACTTAATTTTCCAAAATATTTATATGTGTCTGGCTATTAAAAAGTTTTAAACAAAATCTTTGTTACTTGTAAAAGTTCTGCATTGAAAATGTAACTTATATAAAGGTATTGTAAAGTAAACAGGGAAACGTATTTAAGTATTAAAAGTAAAAGTACTCACGCAGAAAAGTGTAAATAAAGTTCATAAACCCAAATAATTAACATATTAAAAAGAGAAAGCAACAACTCCTCATATTTAAGAGGCTGCAACTAAGAAATATTTTTGCATGAAAAAAGTCTTAAACAATTATAAAAATAGTTGCCAACTAATTTTCTAATCAACCAACTAATCATTTCAGCTGCACTTGCATATTTTCATATGCGCAACAATCTCATCATATCATATCAAATAAATGTAGTGGAGTACAAGTAGAATGTGGCATGAGATTAAAATAATCAAGTAAAGTAAAAGTACCTCAAATTTTTACTTAAGTACTGGAGTAAATGTAATTAGTTACATTCCACCACTGGTCAGCAAAGGGAAGCACAGTAACTGAAATTACTGTAATTGGACTCAGTGGACCAAGTATGGTAGTCCTTTTTTAGCCCTGAAATTTAATAATCCAATCATTATAATACTAACATAATAATGATTGGATTATATGAAATACATGTATTTCTTAATGTCCCTCAAATTCAAAACTTATGTTTCCTTGCCATGGACAACAGTGTGTGGACTGTGAAAACAAGATGTTTTTCTTTTATCAGGAACAGTGCTCTTCTCACTCATAAAATTGTATTCATTATTTATTTATTTATTATTGATTATTATTATTGATTATTATTATTATTATTATTATGATTATTATCATCATTATTATTATTTTAAATAAGAACAAGTTGTGGATATGAACAAAAATAAGTGTGAATTTTTGTTCATATCGTTTCTTGCATGAAGCCGAATATCTAAGAGATTCAATCAAGAGGTACACTGTAAAAAATGATTCGTAGGTTTAGTGGATAACACTTAAAATAAGCAAGTTTTTCATCATAAAAAATGATGTTTGTTTTATTAACTTTTTTTAATCAGTTGACAGAACTGAAGCTGGTCAAAATAAAAAAACACTTTGACATTTTTGAGTAGGATAGAAATTAAAATAAATAAAACAGATTGACCACGAAATATCAATACAAAAAAGTGTTCAATTGATTTAACTTAATTAAGTTTTTCGAGGTCAAAGCAAATCATGTTGGTTGCACTTAATCAAGTTTGTCAGATTATAAAAGACTCCATAAAGCCAGAGTTGTGACTACTTGAAAAGATGCATGCAAATTGTTACCTAATTTCTTTAATTGAACGAGTGGATTCTTTTTAGAGTGTAGGTGTTTGCCTCCATCTATTGTAGTATGATATATATTATATATTAATAACTTGATAAGGACGTCTCCTAACAGGCTTGGCAGGCATGTTCTTTAGTCGATAGTCGACCACCTCCCTCTGCTCCAAGCTCCTTTTTCTCCTCTACTTTCCATTATTGCAACATCACACAATAAACACAGGGAGGTGCTGTTGAACTATTAAAAATGGACTCCTTCCTCTGCTTATTACAGCAGTCTACA